TGTGCTCAATGTTTGAATGGATTGGTTTCCTTGGGTTTTGTTGTAGCTAGCCTTTGCAACTACAGCTCTCTTTTTCTCTCTACTTCAATTTTCTGATTTAGTTCTCACTTCATTTTAGCATGCGTTGTTTGAATCTATTGGCTTCTTTCAAGAATCTGCTTGTCGTCTAGATATGTTGCAATAGATTGAATTACTTGGTGTAAATTGTTTGAGTAATCCACTTTTACCTTTGCTCGAGTTCTTACTGTTTCTTGGGTATTCTGTTCTTCGAAACATGTTGTGATTGGAAGGAATCCCTCTTCTGAGGCTTTTGCCTCCATCATTTTAAGCATGGAACCTTCAAAACTACATGTACCTTATTGTTGTTTGTGTCTATTCTTTTGCCTTGCTTACCTTTCTTTGAAACTTTTAACCACATAAGGAATTACTTTTCCTTCGAAAGCTCATCTGTGATATCTTTGGTTCTGGAATGCAGGGTTGTGATAGATAATGACTCTCATCACGATGCCACAGTTATTAGAGTAAGTCTGACCATTCTTGAGAGATTGAAGCTTAATCACTATCTGTGGTGATAGATATTATTGTTTGTGAAGTAGTATCTCTTAAATACTGTGTTTGTTCATTGTTTTAGGTGGATAGTGTTAACAAGCATGGGATTCTACTCGAAGTAGTTCAAGTCCTTACTGACCTGGACCTTGTCATCAGCAAGGCCTACATCTCTTCTGATGGGAGTTGGTTCATGGATGGTATGCACTCCAAATTTCAATCAGATCAAAGTAACTTGAAAGGAATCATATTTAGTTCTTGTTCATATTTCTGTGCTGAATTTTTCGTACCTGGTGTTTTCAGTGTTTAACGTGACCGACCGAGATGGAAATAAAGTGTGGAACAAAGAGATTATCTCCTATATAACAAAGGTACTTGTCATTAGTCCTTATTCTAGTTGTTAACATGTCATTTCCATTATTTTTAGTGGAACTGAGTTCTCTCTGAATGGAGGGCTTCCTTTTATTCTTCTGAACGTTTATCTGTATCAATTTGAATCATCTAAGCTTTTGAGTTTCAGATAGGATGTTGTCACAAGTACAGATTACATTTGCGGCATCAAATGTATTTATTTTATGATGGTTTGTTTACATTTGTGCAGTCCTTGGAATCAGATGCTTGCTTCTTTCCCAAACTACGGAGTTCAGTAGGTATAACACCTTCAAAAGAGCAAACATTGATCGAAGTAACAGGTTCCGACCGGCCTGGCTTACTGTCTGAAATATGTGCTGTGCTTGCAACCCAGTTGTGTCATGTGGACAAAGCAGAGCTATGGACACACAACACCAGAGTTGCAGCTGTGCTTCATGTTACAGATGAGTCCACCGGGGGTGCAATAGAGGACCCCGAAAGGCTCTCCGCAATCAAGAAGCTCCTATGCAATGTACTTAAAGGTGATAATGATTCGAGGACGGGTAAGATGACCGTATCGATGGGGCTTACCCACGTTGATAGGAGGTTGCATCAATTGATGTTTGATGATAGGGACTACGAGAGGGTTGGCATGAAAGCAGAGGTAAATGATAAATCTGCGCCCCAAGTGACTGTGACGGATTGTTTGGAGAAGGATTATACTGTGGTCATTTTGAGGTCTAAGGACCGGCCTAAGCTTCTTTTTGATACTATCTGTACACTCACCGACATGCAGTATGTTGTGTTTCATGGAACCGTCAGCTCAGGGAAGGAAGGAGCTTATCAAGTAAATGTCAATCTAAATTCCCATCACTACTGGTTTTTATGAAATCTACATTGTATGCCACTCTTGATCTTTCACTATTGTTAATCTTCAGGAATACTATATAAGGCATGTCGATGGCCTTCCCGTAAGCTCAGAAGGCGAGCGACAGCGTCTGATCCAGTGCCTTGAGGCAGCTATAGAGAGAAGAGCCTCAGAAGTAATATTTAGTCTCAAAAACTGTGATGGTTGTTCATTCTATTGCATTTGGTTACTTACATTGTCTTTGGTCATGCACAGGGTCTGGAATTGGAACTGAGGACAGAGGATAGATTCGGTTTTCTCTCAGAAATCACTAGAATATTCCGAGAAAATGGCTTAACCATCAGGAGAGCAGAGATTTCAACCGAGGAAGGCAAAGTAGTAGACACCTTCTATCTTTCTGAGATGTCAGGCAACCCTATAGATGCCAAGACAATCGATTCGATACGCAGACAGATTGGGCAGACAGTCCTAAGGGTGAAGCAGAACCCTCTACTCCCATCGAAGCCGCCGGAGGTGGGCAGCACCGTCAGTCTCATCTTTGGTAATCTCTTCAGGGCCTCATTTCAAAACCTTCGATCGAGCTGATCCTCTACTCATGAACTCTGATTCCTACTCATGGAAGAAGATAAGCATCCAAAGGTGATAATACCAAAAGGTTAGCCTGATACATTGAGAATAATGATGCAGCAGCCCCACTAGTTTCAGTTCCCCTCTTGTGCACAAGATGGATCAGGATTAGAATTATATTGAAACTGATAAAAAGATGCCGTGGTAGTCCTAAATTGTAGAATCGCTCAGCTGTAAATACACATTATTTGAGCTGTAGACAGATGTACATAAATTACATGCTTTTACTTCCTGATGATTCTAAGAAGTCCAAATTTTCACTTTAAATGGACATGATTATTATGGCTCTGTTCTATCGATAAAAATTGCTAGAATTTTAACTTGGTGGTTTAGTTATTGTCTTTATATCAGAATTTAATATAGTAAAATAACATTTTTCCAATAACCTTTTTGAAGCATGATAAAATGGAACTTTTTCCTCCATTATTTCTGCCCATGGCTTCTGCAGAAGGGTAGACTTTGTTCCTCTCTCAGTTCCTTCCATCCATGCTAGCTAGCTTTTTGGTTCCAAAATTACAAGCATCTCTAAACACATCAAAAATAGATGCTGAAAGATTTCTTTTCTTACGTCGAAGGTTCAAATCTAAGCTCAAAAGAGCCTTGCACTGGATAAAACAACAAACATAATTCAAGCCGAGATCTCTTTCTTTTTCTTCTGTGAATGAGAAGGACGGGATTTTGAAGTCCTCTTTCTAAAGAACTCAAAGATCGCCATAATTGACTCCTCCAACAGCTTCAAGTCAGAAGCTTCGTCACCTCACACCATAGCCACCCTTCATTGACTAAAATAAAGCTGGCATGGTGCTTGATGCAATGCGTTCATCGAGGTCGAAGTCAGAAGTTGATGAGTCAATGGTCACGTCGTAGTATCATTTAACCATCTAAAGCAGCAAGACCCTTCAACGAGTAGACCATCTGTGGTAGGAGAGTCTATGGCGCAGAGCAGGAAGCGGTAACAGTTCCATGAATCTATCATGATATATTTATCATCTGAAGCATGAAGCAACCAAAGTGGTGCTTAATATAACTCAGAGAGAACTCTTTAGTCGATGAATGTTTCTTTCCCCTGTCTTGACAGTAGATGGATCTCAGAGTCTTTACACGACCTCAACATACTAGCCTGTATGCCTTCGTGGGCAACAGTATCCTCTTATCCATCATCAAACATCATTTCATCGAGAGAAGTATTTATGTACAACTAAGTGGATGTTACTCGTTTCCAATTCATAAAGTGTCTATGTCTTATATCGTGTGCAGCACAACTCCTATTGAACTGAACAAAATCGATTGGGCTTGACTTTTACTAAAGTCGAATTAATTTGGCTCAATTATCACTGAATTGGACTCGATTGACTCTGAACCGGTCCAATTTAGCTCAATTGTCACGGAAACCGACTGAATTGGACTCAATTGTCGCTGAACCGGACTCTAGTTACCCCTGAGCCGACAACATCTGGGCTCAAGTCCGGTTGAACCGCAGAAGAGAAGTCTGGACCGGCATGATTGGGCTCGCCTTGAATTGGACAAACCATTAGACCACGCTGAGCCGGACGCATCACGCTCTGTCCCATGAGCCGCCGCTGGTCCAGGTTCCAACGGATCAGATCGAGCGAAACACGAACTGGGTCAAGACACCGGTCCGGCTAATTGGATCCGCTCGGCTGGACCCGACTCTCTATGGGCCGAGTCTGAACTGGGCCTGCGCCCACACCGGTCCGAGTGCATACAAGGCTGGACCAAACCGGCCCGCCACTTTTTTTATTTTTATTTTTTCAAATTGTATATTTAATTCAAATAATTAAAAAGAAATCTATACAAAAATTTGACATCAAGAAACTTCAAATAATTAATATAAATTCACATATCATCTTGCACATAATTTAATGGGCTCTTTGAACCATAAAAACAAAACAATTTGATAAGATTAACAGTGTTTAAATCCAATTAAATAGTGTTATATTCTTATCCAACCAACGAAAATATATTCTTTCTAAAATGTATGTCATACATAATTTAGCTAGCTTGATCTTCCACTAATCAAGTTCAAAGCCTGTTAAAGGCAGAAATCGGAAAAGGAACAGAGATTACCGATCACCATAGTTCTTGTCCAAACTCCGGGTGACGTGGTTCGAGGCCCTGATTCAGAATAGCACCTTCAGCCATCTCATGTACCGGTGCAGAGCCCTCTTCGCTGGCAATAAATGCTTGTCAGAATCGAGGACATGTTACTTGAGTGCATTCGATTATTTAAATCGATCAAATCTTATCAAAATTAGGTCAACCATACTCGATCAGGTCAACCGAGTTAGTTGAATTAGATCGTGAGTAGATCTTGTCATACTCGACTGGATTCTCAGAGTCTCAAGATCTCGTCAGGCATATGAACTCCATAGAGACACGATAATAACAGGAGTGAAGATATCATAACGTTATTAGGAGGCCAACTTCACCAACTCATGAGCCAGAAAAAGAGATGCAGGAAATGTCTTATGTTTTGTTGCAAGCTAGTAGCCAACCCCAACCATATGAGCCCATAGTGTGTGATAGATTTGGCTCGAAAGATGCCGACACAGACTGTCTTTCCTTAGATTAGGTTTTGAGCTCAAAACTTGCTTCAACAACAAATCCTTTCATTCTTTTTAGCTGACCAATTCTGTTAGAGATTGGCTGGATCATCTTCCCTGCTCCCTATATAAACTGGGGGGCCATTTGCTTTCTGGTTTCTCAGACTTCCCATCGGTTTCCTCAGACATCAAAATGGTGAGATTCTATCTGGTTTTCTTCGAGATTTAGATAGAGTTTTGACATGCAGGTTGTGTGTTTGGTGTGCAGATTGCAGATCTCAGGGAGAAGTTTGAGCTTACTGTGAGGCAAGGGGAACCGACGCTAGTTCCTCCGGCAGAAGAGACAGAGAAGGGGTTCTACTTCCTCACCAACCTCGACCAGAACATTGCAGTCATAGTTCAGACCATATACTGCTTCAAGTCGGAGGAGAAGGGGAATGAGATGGCGGCAGAAGTGATCAAGGACGCGCTGGCGCAGGTCCTCGTTCGCTACTACCCGCTCGCCGGCCGACTGACGATCAGCAACGAGGGGAAGCTCATCGTGGATTGCACCAGGGAAGGCGCGGTGTTCGTCGAGGCTGAAGCAGACTGCAAGATGGAAGATGTTGGGGACATCACAAAGCCTGATCCCGACACGCTTGGGAAGCTTGTTTATAGCGTCCCTGGTGCTAAGAACATACTGGAGATGCCTCTACTGGCAGCTCAGGTCTGAGACTTGCTCTGTTTTGCTCCGGCTTAAGACTGATGTCTTACATTCTCATCTCTCTCTCTCTCTCTCTCTCTCTCTCTCTCTCTCTCTCTCTCTCTCTCTCTCTCTCTCTCTCTCTGCAGGTTACTAAGTTCAGTTGCGGGGGATTCATCCTTGGGCTAGCCATGAACCACTGTATGTTCGACGGGCTTGGTGCAATGGAGTTTGTGAACTCATGGGGGGAAACGGCACGAGGCCTACCGATATCGGTGCCGCCGTTCATCGACCGCAGTGTTCTGAGATCACGTGATCCTCCTGTCATCAACTTTCCCCACCGTGAATTCTCTGAGATCGAAGACGTCTCTGATGCCACAACCTTGTACCAAGAAGAAATGCTGTACCGATCCTTCTGCTTCGACACCGAGAAGCTGGAGCGCGTCAAGAAAAAGGCCATGGCGGACGGGACGCTCGACGGGTGCACCACGTTCGAAGCGCTCTCCGGGCTCGTCTGGCGAGCCCGGACGGAGGCGTTGAAGCTGCAGCCGGGGCAGAAGACGAAGCTCCTCTTCGCCGTCGACGGCAGGTCCCGATTCGACCCCCCGCTGCCGAAAGGCTTCTTCGGCAATGGCATCGTCCTCACCAATTCGCTGTGCACAGCAGGAGAGCTCCTGGGCCGCCCACTGTCCTTTGCTGTTGGACTGGTCCAGGACGCAGTGGGGATGGTCACCGACGAGTACATGCGGTCGGCGATGGATTACTTCGAGGCGACAAGGGCTCGGCCTTCTCTGACTGCTACTCTTCTGATCACGACTTGGTCGAGGCTGTCCTTCCACATCACGGACTTCGGGTGGGGGGAGCCAGTTCAATCTGGGCCTGTGACTCTACCTGAGAAAGAGGTGATCTTGTTCCTATCCCATGGGAAGGAGAGTAAGAGCATTAATGTGCTTCTTGGGCTCCCAAGCTCAGCAATGGCAAGTTTCCAAAAGCTGATGGACATATAATATGGGGAAGATGAGCCTTTCTTTCAGTTTGAAGTCGCAGTTTGGGATTGATATGACTTGATTATACATTACATATCTGTATGATGGATTTGTTGTTGTAAGAACATGAAATAATGCGATAGGTTATAAATCGTTATTATGTTTGTTGAATCTGCAGCACTTGTTTCAGTCTTTCTCGTATTTATGACTCTCTCACATGATTGACAGCAAATAAATCAATTCGGGTTGAAGAAGACCAAGTAGCCGGAGAACTTTGAATTCCATTAGATTGACCAAGCAAGTAACTGGCTTTACTCGAGTCTTATGGGACTTTATATCCGTCGACAAAAGATCTACTTATAACTTCATACAACCCTAAGGTGTGGAACCCAAACTCAATATCGTATCAATAATAATAATAATAATAACAATAATAATATCTTATATAAGTATAATAAAAATAAAGATAGACTTTATAAGTTTTTAATAATTACGTAATAAAGTTTGTAATGATAATAAATCTTAGATCGGTACCGATATCACATGGATACTTATGGGCGATGACTTTTGTACACTAATTATAACAACACCACATCCAAAGGAACTCTTATACATACTTTTCAATCTAAAAATATTTAGAGAGAGAAAAACTACTACTAAATCATTTTGTTAACGTCACAAACAAAGGATTACCTTCACCAGAAGATAAAGCACGGTATATGATACATGGAGATGATGAACCTTAGAAAAGAGCCTGAGGGTGCTTAGAGATGGTCGGAGACGATGAGCCTTGGAGGGCTGAGAAGACGATACCCGGTGCTGTAGCACTTGGCGAAGCTGCACGTGGGCGGGGCCATCATCTCCTGGTCCATCTCGCACAAGATCTTGTTGAACACGTCGACGTCGCATGGGAGCTGCAACGGGCCAGGGCTGGTGAAGCCGTACACCATCTCGGCCTGATCGAGGAGCATCCTGAAAAGAGGGTGGTTGACGCACTCCATCCTCACCACGAACCGCTCTTTGGTAGGCCCGACGTACACCGTGAAGCAGCCCTCAGGCGCCCGTTGCCTCCCGGTGGACTTGGAGCGGTCCCATGGCTTGCTCTTGGGCGTGGCCGCCGCAGCTGAGCTTCTCCGGTGCCCGAGGGAACGACATCGCTCGAATACCTTGACGATTATGCTCTTCTTCCCCTTCCTACTCCCCAGCCTTTCCATTTCAAAGCTTATATCAGAACAAGCATCAAATTACCTGTTCATCTCTTTCAAGACAATCAAAGAACTACTTGTTATGCTTCAAAAGCCGAGCCATTTGCACCGCGAAGATGTAAATCATGTATCTCTTGGGAACTCAGAAGCGAGTATTTAGGGTCATTGAAAGGAGGAGAAAGAAAGAACTGCACTGCACTAGATGTATGCTTTCCTCTCTCTCTCTCTCTCTCTCGTAGAGCTACACCATATCCACCCTCCTCATATACGCATGCCAAAGGCTTTGGGTACGAAACATGGTTCCTTTTCAATGTGTAGTGGACTATGAAGTTTTCATGCCCTTATTAAATACTTGTCATAATGGCATGTAAAATATTAAAACGCAGGACACATCATAATAATTCATTTGTTAGCTTTTGAGGTGTCTTCGTGCAAAGCTTAATCGAATGTCTCTCGAGAAATAAAAAAGAGAAAATGTTAATAATGATTCCCTGCCAAGCCTTTAGAATAAAATGGAACTCCTTGATAAGAACAAAATAAACATAAACTAACAATGATGAGTCGCCTCTTAGTGTCTTGACTTAATTCAGGTCAGAGAAGTGTTTTAGGATTCTATTTGTCTTACTCCGAGTTTAATTCTCTGACCAAATAAGGATCAATATTTCTGCGTGTAATGTAGTAGGTTTCTTGCTTAGTAGGTTACGTTTCATTAAACGCAATTATTGTCATATGACAGCACGTAAGGAACATTATTTATTTATTAATTTAGAAATCGAAAAGAGATCTGTTTACCAAACATTAGTCAATAAAAGCAGTTCAATTGCTTAGATGAGACTAAGTGATGAGGAAGTGGACCTGTATACTAGTGATTCTTACATACAAATATGACGACCTATATGTTGGTTTCTAATATGTTTCTTAAACCCCAAATTATATATTAAATTTGATTTTATCATATTTTGTACATTAATTCAATCATTACTAAAAATTTGAAGTGTCCAAATAAATCTACATTAAGTGGCTAGTGGTTTACTTTTGTATATTTAGAGAAATTTATTTAGCTAAATTAGGTTCAGGCATCAGATAGCCTACATGACCATTAAACCAAATAGATAAACATTTTCAATTGACTACTTTATAATTGGAAGGTGAACTGTCATGGCTTCAATCTAGTACAACAATTTATTGACAATTTTGGAGTGGGTTTACAAAAGATATAAATAAATATTAAGCACAGATGAAACCTTCCCTTGAGATATATTAATTCTTTGTCCCCCGGATCAAGTGCAAGGTACGATGGACATAATAGAGGTTAAAATTGGTTTCATCAGCGGTTCAAAGTATCGTCTTGCGACTGGCCGGAATCTCAAGATCCTTCGTGTTTCTCGTGCGGCCTTGAAATGGAGCCGAGTTTCTTATGCGACGTGGACTAGATCCTGGATTGGTCGACATTTATGGTAGGCTTTGCTTGCACGTATGCAATTCGATCCCTTCTCGTCAGCATTTCAAATTTTGACTATTTCCCGTGCAATATAAATTGGTGGGCGATTGGACTTCAAATGTGCACGCGTCGCTTTTTGATTGGCGTAGGGATTATTGGATCCGAAGTAAAAGGATGTTGATAATATCATGAACTAAAGAATTCATACTGCATTTTCTTTTACGTGCATCTCAGCATGAATGAAAGGATATATTTTTTTTTTTCTCTTTTTAGTGATGTAAAATAAGAGTTTATCATAAAACGTATTAAACAAACATGGCATTTAGGAACTTGAGTGAATAATTTCCTCTAAATTCCAAGAGGTTTAGGATATGTTCTCCTTATGGTTTTCTTTCCAAGGGAAGTTTTGATGTTATAAAAGGCATGGGGAAGTTATGATGTTATATGAAGGTATTGAAACAAAATATTCGAGACCTTATGATTGATCTATTACTTAATGTAAATATAATATTATATTTAGTTAATATTGGGAATTTTGTTTCGTTATTTAGGTTTGATTTTATATTCAAAACAAAATAATCATACTCAACTTGTTATAATATCTTATTTTCTATTAATGCTAATTTTAGTCATCAATCCAACTTATCAAGTTTAATCCAACTTGGTTTGCTTTTCAAACCAATTATCAAGTTCTAAACTTAAATAAAAGTTTCTCCGATCTCTTAGACATTAATATAACCAAGTTCTTTCATCTTATGTCTTAATATATATTTGAGAGTTTATTTTAAGAATTATAATGAGTTATATTTTATAAAGAAAAATATTTAAAAAATTATAATGAGTTATGTTAGGGGAAAATATTATTGACGTTTTGATTAGTTCAACATGATCTAGACCTGAGTTATCTAAGATATCTTCAACATAAAAATGTCGAGCTTTTTTATGTACCACTAATACGATGATCAAGATTGAAAAATATTTTTTGACTTAATCCCTCCAACGCAAGTTAGTAATATGAGGTATATGAATGTGAATAATCAAAAGAAATTAACTCATTCTTTATGTTAAATATGAGTTTTTATACTTAGTAGTAAAGGTAAAAATGAAGCATGCATTTGCAAATCATAAAAGATAAGAATGAAAGCTTTTGATTGTCTTTTTATCATAAATGACTATATAAAAACTTAAAGTATAATAAGAAAGTTCTTAATTATCTTTCTAGTAATAAATGATAAGAAGAAAATTTAAGATTGTGATCTTTAAAGTGTAAGAAGATAAAATTGAAGAAGAAAGTTTATGATTGTCTTTCTAGTAATAAATGTCAAGAAGAAAATTTATCGATTACCTACTTTGAATCTTGATATGTGTGGGTATGTAAAGGGGTGACATCACATGATGATGACATATCCAATAATGATTAGTCAATAATATATCTAGTTATAT